GCTGTAAGCATGCATATGTGCATGGGTGCCGAGATATGGAGTTGCAGTATGATACGATATTTTTTGCGTTTCACATGAACCGTGTATATCTGTTGCATTTGCTTTGGGGACATATCGCAGCGCTGCAATGTGCGTGTATGGGACAGAGTCTTGAATTACAAACGATGTCACTGAAGTGGTGGCGCAATGTCTGTGCAACTCAACATGTGGAGAGAAGGAGCACGAACTGAGCGGCTGCTTTCTGTCAATCACGTAGTAGCATTGCCATCCGTTTCGGGTGTGCCTGATGGCAGTATTTTCAGCGGAGTTGCAAAGAGCAAATGGCGACTGGTAGCCAGAGTGAGATGAAAACGAAATATCTGAATACCTGTAGTGGCTGTACTAAAGAGGTCGCAAGCACACTCTGCAGTGTGGAGAATCCATATAGCAATACAAAACTTACTGGAGTCGTACGTGCGACGCCTGCGCGAGTGTAGAGGTCTCGTGCTCCCTTTCCCAGGAGGTATGACATGAGAAGCAAACGCATCCCGTGTGTGCTGGTATGCGTGATATTACACTTCAGGGTGTTTGATGCGATGCGTGGGTGGGACTGCGTGTGGTAAACGATGTGCAGTTCGTGGATATCGACTTGAACACCTTGTTTCGCGCAGCGATACGCAATCTGGATACAGAGTGTCATATTGCAAACGGTGTTGGTTGAATGGTTGCAGTAGCATATGTGCAGCGCAGTACGCTGCATGACTAATAGCGCTTATGCAGTGGATTGTGTCAAGCATTTTGTGACATTATCCATGAGCCAAAGGCACGCAGAGGCGCAGTCCAAGCTTGCGTGCGACGCCTACTCGAGTGTAAAGGTCTCGTGCTGCTGCTGCCAGGCGGTATGACATGAGATGCAAACGCATCCCGTGTGTGCTGGTATGCGTGATATTACTCTTCAGGGTGTTTGATGCAATGCGTGGGTGTGAATGCGTATAGGAAAAGGTGTACGATGTTGGTGTTATTGCGAGAATGTGTGAGGCTTCGGACTGTGTATGTGTGCATTTCATGGATATCGACTTGGATGGTGTGTTTCGCGCAGCGATATGCAATCGGGCTACAGAGTGTCATATTGCAAACGGTGTTGGTTGAATGGTTGCAGTAGCATATGTGCAGCGCACTACGCCGCATGACTAATAGGGCTTATGCAGTGGATTGTGTCAAGCATTTTGTGACATTATCCATCGGCTAAACGCACGCAGTGACGTACTACAGGGTTGCGTGCGACGCCTACTCGAGTGTAAAGGTCTCGTGCTGCTTTTGCCAGGAGGTATGACATGAGATGCAAACGCATCCTGTGTTGCTGGTATGCGTGATATTACTCTTCAGGGTGTTTGATGCGATGCGTGGGTGTGAATGCGTATGGGAAATGATGTACGATGTTGGCGTCAATGTGAGAATGTTTAGCGCTTAGCATTGTGTAGTTGTGCACTTGGATATCGACTTGAACACCTTGTTTCGCGCAGCGATATGCAATCGGGCTACAGAGTGTCATATTGCAAACGGTGTACGTTGAATGGTTGCAGTAGCATATGTGCAGCGCACTACCCCCCCTAATCAAACACCATTATGCGGTGTTTTGTGTCACTCATTTTGTGACATTAGCCATTAGCATGACAACATATGAAGATAACAGCTATTGGGAGGAACGATCGGGCGCAGGGGGGGCTACAGCACCTCTAACATGAGGTATGCAAATCCATATGGGGACTGGACAAAAGCAGTCGGGGCTTGCTGGGCGAGATGTTGCATCTGATTCTGGGAGATTAGTCATGATGTTTTGTGTTAGGAGTGGCTGCAGTGAAGGAATGCGCCAAAGGTATTGCTTAGAGCTAGGTTTTTGGCGGAGTATGCTCGTGGTGCACTTGCGTAATCTGAAGAAGATGAACCTGACACAGTGCACCTTGGTTCATGCACGTGGTACATATCCTTGGTTGTGAAGACTTCCGACTGTAGTTCCTTTTAGAGCAACGAGCAATTGGGCAATGGTGCACCATGCTTCCTGCTGCATTGCCTGTTAGTTGGAGTTCAGTTGGGGCTGGGTTCGCCTGCTATGGTTGACACTAGGCGTTTTGTCCCATAGGAGTCTCCACAGTATTCAGCAGAGAGGTGGCGTCCCAGCCTGTGTAAGCATCATGTGGAGTTATGCAATTTGGCTGCGGCTGTGGTTGTGGCTGTGGTGTGGCAAAGCCTTCAACAGCGTTGCGACGGTTTGTTGTTTTGGCCAGAAAGTATGCACATGATGAGCAGCCAGTGTTGATGAGGCGGGGAAACGTTTACGAGCCATAGCACTTTGGAACAAGCGTGAAGCAAGCGACGTCTATTCACCTTCGTGCAGCATGTATAGAAAGATTTGCGTTTCAGGTCCTTCGATGGCGACCTGCATTTGCATGATTGCGTCTGCGGTGGCGAGCGTGGTTTATGAATTGGTGCGACAGTATATTTGCAGCGCAATATGCAGACCTAGAGAGCATTAGCGACG